CCCCCCCCGTCTCTGAGGTATCATCTCTCTTCTCTGATACTTTGCCTGCCTCCTGCCTTGCTTTGTCAATACTGCCAAATATGCCCTGGAGAAGGAAATTAATCTAGACCCCAAATTTGGCAATGCGCTCACCCTTGTTCATGGAAATGAGAATCTCCATAATTAATCCCTTTGCATATGCCAAGAAGAATGGGTTTCTTCTGCTAGGCCTCCCTATTTGCTCTCCTTGCATGAAAGCAGGTTGAGTCGCTCCTGCCTTGCTTTGTCAATACTGCCAAATATGCCCTGGAGAAGGAAATTAATCTAGACCCCAAATTTGGCAATGCGCTCACCCTTGTTCATGGAAATGAGAATCTCCATAATTAATCCCTTTGCATATGCCAAGAAGAATGGGTTTCTTCTGCTAGGCCTCCCTATTTGCTCTCCTTGCATGAAAGCAGGTTGAGTCGTAATTAAGCATTATTTGTGCTGCTTCGAAATTGGAACGTTTCTGGCTGGTACCATGCAAGCTGGGCCTCAAGAAAGGGGAGAAAAGGGGTACAGTCATAAGCTGAGACCATATCTGTGGCCAAGGAGGCTACTTGTTGTTGTGATTTTCAGTAGATGGAGCCCTATCTTGGGTACGATCACATAGTTGTCTTTTTTTAAAATTGCTAATGGGGTCATTTCTTGCCTGTGGCTAAAATGGTCAATGCAAAAATAAATATGTATCTCTTGCTACAAGACTCCCCACTGTAGGTGGATCCTCTTTCTGGCTATATTGCATAGAACTCTTTGTGTTGGTCCCTATCTTGGACTGATGTTCTAAAATCGTCCAGAGTGGCTGAGAGTTGGTAGGATGATCATTTTAAGCAATAAACATTATTTAGGCTTTATGCAGGAGGGGAAGGAGAGTAAAGGAGACTGCATAATGCTTCATTTTAACCATTTTCTGGGCCAGATCCTCAGCTGGTGTAACTCAGCATAGTTCCACAGGTGTCTTGGAATCTGAAATCTGACTGGTGGGCTGGGGTTTATGGCTTTTACAGCAAGAGATGCAGTGGATCCCCCGTATCCTCCACCACAATTATTGTCCTATCTGTGTTGGCATCCAGCAAGTGACCTTTACCTTCAGGTGCCCAATGACAAACTTGTGGACGATATGGTTCCATGCAGACTTCTTAAAAACAGAGAGGTGTCCAAAGTCATGCTGTAGCCACCCAGCCTGGGCCTGCAGAGGAAAAAGGAAGAGGGGTGACAGGGCTGCATGAAAACAAAGGTAAATAAGGAAGAGTACACAGTGCAGAAGGCAAGTATTATGTATATCTGTATGAAATGTGTACAGGCCTAGCCACACAAAGTGGAGAAAATAAGGGTGCCATTTACGGGGGGGGAGGGGAGGGAGGGAAGGGGGCCTGCAGCCCCTCCTTAGGTTTCCTACTATAGTAGGATGCTGTCTCCTGCCTCTCCTCTAGCTAGGAGTGGGAGCAATGCAGGCAGCTTTCTTTGCTTACTCCTCTCCCCTTCCCCTTCCCCCACTGGAGTAAAAGGAATGCAGGTGCATCAAGCGGAACAAAAGGCCCAGCCCATGCAAAGTGCTTTGGATCCTGGCTGAAGTCAGGAGCAGCTGGGTTAGAATCAGAGCTCTTGAGATCCTGCTGCCATCTTGGTAAGAACAGAACTGCAGCAGCAAATGCAAAACACAAATGGGGGGCAGCCACCCTGCTCGCTGGCCTGTCTTGCCTTGCTCTTCTCCCCAGACAGCCAAAAGCTCCCTGTGCTGCGGTTCCTCTCCAAGATCTCCACTCCCCCCTTAGCCACACTGGCTGAAAAGCTAATTCACGCCTCTCTCGCTCCCAGGACTGGCTATTCTTTGCTCTGCCAACAGGAAAGCAGAGGTGTGTCTGGCAGATCCAACAGCAGGGCTGGGAGCTTCTGCAGCACTTGGTTCAAATTCATGGAGACAAGCAGGCTGAGGCAGCGGTGGGGCGGGGAAGGAAGCTCAGAAGATGATTGCTGCAGATTTCATCACAGTCTGCCCTCATCCTCACAGGTTGCTATGTTACAAAGGCTGGGAGGGGCCAGCCCCTTGTGACACCAGTAGACAGAGAGTGACTCAGGCAGGGGAGGGGGCTGCTGCCCCAGGCACATTCAAGTTAGCCCAGCTCTGGCTGTTTCACTGCTTCACTGCAAGAGCAGCAGCACTAAAGAATGGCCAGCTGGGATCTCCCCCTGCTGTCAAGAGCTGTCACACCACAAACACGGCTTCAGTTACACTTCAAACTTGCCCATTTTTTTTCCAATTCCCTAATTTTGCGGGGGGAACAGCAATACCCCAGGGTGGCCACCTAGTCTTCCATTTAGTCCACGGTCTGTGAGAGTCTTTCCTTTGACTCCAATGGGCTTTGGGTCAGGTTACGAGGTAGGGCCCAGACAGGCTGTTACACACAAATGTTGATTCCTCAGGAGGATTGCAATTGCACGTTTTACACTACAACCTTAGAACACCACACTGGGAACCGCCTGCCAATCTGGAGCATTGTTTGTTTTTTCAGTCATTTATTTGCTTTTAAACATTCCTGGAAGAAATTAACTCTCTCATTCTCCTCTTCACAAGTTGGCCCATAAGACATTTAAAAATATCAATAATTGTAAGGCTAAGCAGATCTTAAGCAGATTTCATTTATCTCTACTAAAGATAGTGTACAAACTTGTATTAAAGCTCCAAAATTGATACCTCAAGTTTTGGGATTGAAAATATCTTTCTGTTGATTGTACTACATTTACAATTAAGCTTAAAATATGGCTTTGATTTGGTATTTGTTATATTTTTTCTTTATATAAGAATCAGGAACACTGTTTCTGTCAGTTAATTTCCAAGTTATCACCTGCAAAAAAACTAGGAGTTTTCAGGTGCCTAAGTAGCCTCTGGAATGGAATCATGGTATCTCCAGTGGAAAGGGAGAATTTTGTATTAATTTCATTGGCAGACATGAGACAGGCAGTGGGCTCCATGCATCCAACTGTGAGCTAGTGAGTAGGCTCCCTGTGATGAAGAGCAAGGCAGTGAAGTGTGAAGGAAGGTGCATGTGTTCTTCCAAAATGAGTTTTGTGATAGCCATGGCATGAGAAACTCTGAATGACTGGATGCACTGACAGGTCACCTGGTATGGAAGACCATGCACCCCAGTTACTGTGCTCACCATTTCTCACCTGGGAGGTTGCAAGGATGCAGGAAAGGATAAAGGTGGTGATCCAGCCGGTACCGTAGTATGAAACTAGTAACCAAGCCAAAGCTTCCATTACAATGATGTGACTCAGGTAAAGGGAGAAGAACAAGGGGTTTGCTTTGAACAAGTTCATGTCCTCTGCTGTTTTTCTCAGAGCCCGGAAATCGTCCACCAGCTGGGGCTGCGAAATGGAAATGCAGGATTTAAGGTGCACCTTCTTTACATGACTAAATGTGTCAGTTTAAGCTTGGGCTTCTACACTTATAATCTATGCCTATCCTAGGGCCATCAGCTTCCCCAGAATGAGAGAAGAATTAGTATCAATATTCATGCAGTCGTCAGGTACCTGCCTACAAGGTACCTGATCTTATTCCCTACCCTGATGGGTCTCTCGCCACCTTCTCGGCCTACTTCCTTGAGGTGGAAAAGCAATGAAAGTCACCCGAGACCCACTTAGGTCAATACACCTCTGGAAATTGAGACCAGCTAAGAAGGGCCCAACATCTTTCTATTATCCAGCCTTAGTGCTCAGCTATTTATTCCATATAGGCTATAAAAGGACATCTCCTCTCTCCTTGTGGAAGAGAGAATTCAACTCTTCACTTATGCATAGCCCTGAACCTCTGCTGATGGGAGACTCTAGTGCCAAGACAGCTCTATTCTCTCTGGGATGTGTTCAGCTTGCGTGCAGTCACTCATGAAAGCGGGTCAAGAGGTAATGCAGGATAACATAGTCACTGCTGTTGTGTATGAAACACGTCATAAACTCGGTTGGCTAAAGAACAGTACAAAAGAGAAAGGGTTTCACTTTAGAAGCCAGTCGTGCAGTGCACAGCGTCTGAATAATGAATGAATGGAACATGTGGCACATGCATAGAGCTGGACATATTGACACTAGGTGGGTGAAGGGCCCTGCTGTGTTACAGTGTCATACACACAATGCTCAGAGCAAGCAGTTTGTTTCACCTCACCCACTGGTGTTATGGCCCCCTACTCCACAAAGATGGCCACTTTCACAGACTTCTCCATGACTGAGCATAAGCCCATATGAATTTCTGAGTGGTGTTTCCTCGGGCTGCGTCATCAAATGGGTGACATGGAAAGGGGTGACATGGAGCAGAGGGTGGAAGAGAATGCAAATCTGCTTTAGATGACAAGCAGTCTCATTTTGGCAGCCCCAAGGCCTTTGCAAAGCACAAAACTGGGATGCATCATGGAAAAATGGGCAGACCTAGGTCATGAGAATTTGAGCAGCAGGGTTGTTGACTAGAGATGAACTCCAGCCACAAAGACTAGATCCAGATCTTGATCGATATTTATTCAAAGTTTGCAAGTGTTCAAATTGGTGAGTTTGGACTGGGCTCCTGTTTAGTGATCACAAATCAGGCCTGAGCTGCACAGGCAGAGCTGTCCAAGGTCTGCAGGAGGAGAAGAATAGGGCACGCTGCAGGGCAGGAGTTTACCTATGCACTGACTGACTCTGCACCACACACACATGACCACACAGAGCTGTCTGACTGTGGGTGTCTTTCTCTGCGGTTTCCTGTACTTGCTAGAGCTGCCCATAGTGAAGAGAGCTTGTGAATGATATGTAATGGCTTTTCACAAAGGAATCTGGAGGGCAACTTTATAGAAACATTGTGGAATGACCAGATTATAGATTCCTGTCCAGAAACAGAGCCCACAGAGAGGGCTTTGCACCTACTCACATTTTTGCCTCGGTCCTGGCTAGGTTCCTCTGGGGCAAGCTCGCCGATCAGTAATGGCTTGAGAAACTTCTGCACAAAGCTGGGGTTGAGGTGAAAGGCCTGGAAAGCATCCTGGGGTGGAAACAGAGGCAGAAACAATGGATTCAGTAAAAGCAATCACTGGACATTGGTCCTTTCCTGTTTGTCCCCAGCAATGTTTCCCTCATAGTACCCCAACCGTTACCCAACTCTGGTGCCAGCTCCAAGTCGGTGCCCAGAGAACACAACCCTTTCAGAGCAGTGCAGATGCTGCTAGAAGTAGATGAATGAATATGCAGTTTATAGACTAAGGTGGGGTGGGCAATAAGCAGCCTGCAGGCCAGATGCAGTTCACCGAGGTTAGCCCTGGGCAGACTGCCAACACTTTATTTACCTGCATATCCCCAGGTACAGCCGTTCAAACCTCCTATTGGTCGTGGCATGCTGTTCCCGGCCAATGGAAGCTTTAGAAAGTAGCGCGGACTGGGACATTGCTTCCCACAGCTCCCATTGGCCGGGAATGGTAATCTACGGCCAACAGGATGTGTGAGTGGCCATGGCTGTGGACGTGCAGGTAAATAAAATGCTGACGGTCCTCCAAGGATGTGAATTCTGCATCCCCAGAAAGATAAACGATATTGAAAGGTATCTGCCTCTGATCTGTGTATAGCTTTAAAATAGTCCATGAAAATGCTTAAAAGGGGGGAATTGCAACTCCAGCCTTGAATGCCCAAGACCAAGCTCCTGCCCAAGTTGCAACATCAAAACACTGTCTACACAACTATTTTTAATGCACTAGTTTGAGTCCTACAAACATAAGTGTGTGGATCTGGGCTGGAAGATTAGTTCCCAATGTAGATATACCACAAACATCTGTAATACTAAAACAGGGGTATGTCAAAGCACACTACGGACTTTGAATGCACTGTAGCAGGGGACATGCAGCCAGTTACACTATGGCTTACTGCACACTAATCTCTGTGTTAACAAGTCCCTAACAGCCTGTTCTGAGAAATACTGTGCAAGATAAAAGTTGACCGGAGAAAAACATTGTGTTAAAATCAGCAAGTGAATGCTCTCTGGACTCAGTCAAAAGGGATTATTCAAATTGTATTCTAGTCAGATATTCCCTATAACATTTGTCCAATTAACATATCTGATGGTTAGATTACAGTGTTAAAATCTAACAGGAACCTCTGCAAATGGATTAAATTGACCTCCACTTTTGCACACGGAACATGCCTGCTTCCAGACGCTGTCAGAGAGGTTTTGTTCAGAGTGTTCCTGGTGTTGGGTAGTTCCCTCTTTACAATATACAGGGTTCTGCCTCTGCTACCATGACAAACCTGGGTGGAATGCAGAGGACAAGTTGCTGAGTCAGCTAGAAGTCTCTTTGGGGCTCCCTCATCAGCACCCGCTCGATGTGTGTGGCAAATGTTCCTCTCTGTGCTTTGCCAGCTGCATTGGTGGCAAAACCTTTAATCTACTGGCCCCAGCTGTCTCTGTCCCCACTCCCTGGCTAGACTCCTCCACCCACCAGCACCCTGCCCCAGCACCCACCAGCACAGTTGGGGCCACATTAGTGAGGCTTGGAGGGTTTGGAGCAGTTGTTTTTTTGCATTTCACTTGTGTGGCCCCGACTGACTTTTCTGTGGGTCAGTGACCCCTGACTCAAAACAGGTTCCCCGCCCCTCTCATAAATAAAGACAATGCAGAAACATTTTGTGTTTGACATAATATTTTATTTCAAAATGAAGCTTGGCCAACAAGCCCCCAGTTTGGGCCACGCCCCCATCTGGTCGCAACATCATAACACTCCTGCACCCCCCCACCAGACCCTAAACCGGAGCCTATCATACACTGGAACCCTTTGTCCTGAGCCTCTCACATCATCCTGAGTCCATCATACTTCCTGCCTTTCTGCCCTAAGCCCCTCATAAACCCCAGTCCAAACTCCTGCACCCTCACAGTCACAAGCGTATGCTCAGCACCCCAACCCTGCAACTGACCCCATCACTCTCCAGCCTGGAGCCCCTTCCCTGAACCAGCATCCTCTTCTCCACTTCCTCCTGCACCCAAATTCCCTCCCAGAGCTTGCACCTCTCACCCCTTCCCAGTGCGTTTTTTGTGATGGTATGCCCCGGGATGGTGTACAAGCAACTATGTTCCCCCAGCACGGGGTTTTTTTTTGGTTTTTTTTGCTGAACAACTCCCCCCCACTGCCCAGGGGAAGCTCTTTGCATTCTATCCACTGCTGTTTTGGCTCTTCATCTCTAACAGGTTGGCCACCCCGACCTAGCCCATTGCCAGCATGTGGATTTTCACTGTTCACACATGAGACCGGCGAATATGGTTACTGCATCACCCAAGGAAGTTAGGCTAAGATTTTCAAAGGAGACAAGGTATTGACCAAGGGCCTCCCAGCCTAGAATAGAAGCCAGGAATGTTAAGTCCCATCTAGTGAGAAGGGCCTAGTAAACAAAGGACAAGAAATCCTTTCTTGTTCAAGGCAAGGCACTAGAAATAAAAGACTGTGACAGGGTGTAGTCACAGAAGACTCCTTGAGGGTGCTTCCCAAAGTGCTGACAAAGCTACTGGCACTTGCCTATTTGCTCTCTGGGGCTTCTCACCACCCTGTTGTGCTGGGCCAGGTCTCCTGGTCACCCCCAGCCAAGGCACAGAGCTGAGAATACCACCTCCCCCACCCCCAAAGAGCAATACAGACATTGAATTATTTCAGGTCTGAGAAGAATGCAGTTTTAGGCCCAGCTTCCAGGGAATCCACTCCCCAAATGGGATCAGAATCCCAAATAAATCATTCAGGTAAACCTCCTTTAACAATGAAAGGCTGATGTACACTCTGATTGCTCCCCCAGGTAACAATAACTTACCCTGGGCTTGAAAGTAAATACAAGTAATTTTATTAAGTACAAACAGTAGGATATACGTGGTTGCAAGTGTAAACAGGGAGAGCAAAGTAAATTACAAATGTAAAATAACAGAAAAGGCATAGTAATTCTAACGTACACTCAAGCTTATTGCAAACTCATCCTAAAACTGTTCTTATTTCAGCCAAACTGCCAAGCCAGGGAAGATCTTTTTTCCCTGGGGTCTCTGATTTATTCCCTTGGAGTGACATGCAAGCCAAAGACAAAAGGATAGCTAGATTCCATTTTGGCCAAAACATGGAGTTTTCTCCCCCATCTTCTATGGAAAATTACCAGGTCAGATCTTACTAGTTGGGATGGTCACATGGGGCATGTCTACACAGCGGGGCTAAAATTGAAATAAACTATGCAACTTAAGCTACATAACTGACGCAGCTCAAGTCGAAACAGCTTATTTTGGCTTTTGGTACTGTCTACACAGCAGGAAATCCGAGTTAGAGTACTCTTCCTCTGACTTCCCTTACTCCTCATACAGTGAGTGTTACAGGAGTTGGAGTAAGAAGTCCTCCAGATCAACATTCTTTCGACATTATGTCAAAATAATTGCTTGCTCTGTAGATGCGGACTATGCTATTTCAAACTAAGGTCAGTTATTCCAAAATAACACTGCTGTGTAGACGCAGGCAGGTACTCCTACAACCAACCACTGCTTACTCAAAGGACAAAAGAGGCTGTTTGCAGGGGATCACCCAGACATTGAGGGAAACACCCTTGATGGCTTTCATTTGCACATTTAAAACCATACGCCATTTCATATTCCATATTTCTAACTTTACATACAAGAATGATGCACACTCCAAAATAAGATATACAGATTCAGCAGATTGTGACATTGACTGATAGGTTACATGAGGTATTTTGTCCAGAGCATCTTTAGGTTATGCATATTTGTGTCCATAAAGTATGGGCAGGGGTGAAACCATCACAAAGGCAATGATGGCTACCGAGGCAAGTACAAGAGTTATCCTGAACTGGAGACAAAGATTGAATGAAGAAGTTGTGGGTTGTATAGTGTTTTGAATACCTGAGGAAAGCTATGTACGTATGAAATGTCACCTGAGATGTCATGGCAGAAAAGATGCGAGTGATCGCAATCCACGTGGAGATGATCGTGCAGTTCAGATGGGCATTTGAAGCCATGACAGAGGAAAGAAGGGAGGGCTGTAAAGACACAAGAAGTGTTAATACAGTTTGGGTCAAAAATCACTCTGGCCCAAGAAATGCTACCAATAAAGGCCCAGTTACTCTTGGAAGTGGTAGCTGACAGATTTCTTCACATATTACAGGGCCCACAAGTGTTGATGCTATTTTAGACTTGTTTTTGGTAAGTAGTGAGGACATTAAAGAAGAACTGTCGAAGAAAAAAACCTTGAATTAGATGTAGGGTTGCCAGGTGTCCGGTTTTGAACCGGACAGTCCAGTATTTGAGCTTTCTGGTTGGGAAACAAATTGAGAAAATATAAATGTCCAGTATTTTCTAACTAAGATGTAATGTAGATGTAATGTCACATGTGTCCTGTATTTTTGTTGAAACCATCTGGCAACCCTAACTAGGTGATCACAAGTTGATTCTGTTTAAATTCAATGGAAAGATAATCCAAACAGGTTGGCAGCTATGCATTTTTTATTTCAAAAGGGCAGTCTATAAGAAATTAAGGGAACTAATTAGTGAAGTCAGCTGGATCAAAGAGCTCTAGTACTTAAATGTGGAGGAGGCTTGGAATTTCTTTAGTTCAACATTGCAAAAACTATCTGGAATCTGCATCTTAAGCAAGGGGAAAAAACTTGTAAGTGCTCCAGACTAAACTGGATGACGACCCACTTCATAATGGAGATAAGGAGTAAGCAGAAAGCTTACAGAACAAGAGGAGTGATTAAACAGCTAAACAAGCTGCATTGTGGAGGCTAGAAAGTGTGAGGAGAAAGTAAGAACTGCCAAAAGTCCAGCTGATATGAACCTTGCCAAAGATATTAAAGCAAACAGTAAAAGGTTCGTTAGCTATATAACTAAACGGAGAACAAGAAAAGAAGAGGTGCTTTGATACTTTGCCTGGAAGAATCACGTGATCACAGGATGGCTATGAACCATCAATGTGATAAACTTAAAAAACAACAAATGGTCTGGTAGCACTTTATAGACTAACA